TGGCATCTGGGTGAGAGGAGAGGATAGTGGGCGCCATAATCTTGGAGTTCCATAGGATCAATTGTGTTTTTGACATTGCGTGCTCTCAAACTTTGGTAAACCGCATAGATAGTTTTTCCCAAAGGCCACATGAGTAGGCGGCAACTGATCTAGCTGTTGATAGTGTCTTAGTGTTAAATTCATGCACCATGAACCTCCAATCTAGAGATTATTTAGAGTGGCTCTAAGGACTTTGTAGGTGGCCATGATATGTGTTTTATCTACTACTTCATTGTATCCCTAGGATCAGTGTTCATCAACACCAAGCCCTCTCTTAAGTAACCAATTATTGGTAGAAATTAGGTTACAAGAACTCTCCAATAGAAAACATGTTCTCAAGGATGCAGTTTAAATTTCCTTAGCCAATCGACAATCATAGGCTCATTAACGAACGATTTTCCATAAGCAAGAGCAGTGATAGCGCATCCTGAATGAGCAGGAAAAGATTTGACAGTTCTTTTGGAGGTTAGTCGACTAGTACAACTACAGAATAATGCTACAAATTTTTTGGTCACACCGGGATTTCATTAAAGGCAAGTTCCAGCTGCCCTCCATCTGTCACCACCTGACTTGAGACTGGAATTAACAAAGATGGGTGCAGACGGTCGGACGACGTGAATTATATTTTTTATTTTTATTAACTATAATTATCATTTAATAAATGAAAGACTCACTAAAGAAAGTAGATTACATCAATACAGTTAAATTTACGTCATTAAAGGTTGTCCGCATCTTTCATAAGTATTTTATCTTCTATTGTTCATCTTTTAATTAATTAATTACACTAAAAAAGTTAGTTTAAAACAATAGTGAGCTAACCAAAGCCAATAAATACTCGCACTATTAAACTACAGTAATACAAGAAAAAAAATAATACACATACTAGTAAAATTTTTAAATAAATTAGTATAAAACATTTGATAGTTTATGAATATAATCATTTAAAATATTTTATAATATTTAATATATTTTATTATATTAATAACATATCTATATGATTTTATATCTGTACAACTGTTACAGGAGCACCGTTTAAAAATTTAACAGTTAGGGTACTTCAATATCAATATTATTTTTCATTTATATGCACGATACCATTAGCATTTTTCCGCTAGTACGATAAAGAGGCGAATGCACATACAAATATACTATAAAAATCACTCATTCTTATTTTCATAATAGTCAATGTATTTCATATATATGAAATGAATGCTAGTATGCATCAATATGAACAAAAAAATTCAATAGTCATAAATCATGAGTTTGTAGTAATTCAAATATAACTAGTAACAACAACAATAAATGTATTTGATCTAAAACAAAGAAAAATATTACTATGGCATAAGAGCATGAGTACTCATATTTGCTTTAAAGTTCTGAAATCTCTTCTACAATAGAATACCTATTATCTTATATAAAGTATTATTATTGATAAATTAACTAAATGATTTATCATTTAATTATAATTGAAATATTTTATGAAACTTGATATTAATATGAATCTATTTAAATCCACCAAAAAATTTATATAGTATTATTAAATTATCACTACAATTTAGATAATATTATTAAATTATCACTACAATTTAATATATTTATTTTACATAATTTAGTATTTATTTATTTGATATGAATAGTTTCTCATTATCGAAATTTGACATTAATATATTTAAAAGTAGAAGAACTCTTAATTTATGTTTTACCTAATAAATTTTTCTCACTATCACTTCTCCCTTAGGGACATAAATGAGGCCAATGTCCTTGCTAGTCTTCCTAACAAAATATAACATAACTTCATATTAATAATATTTTAAGTGTTTAATCAAAATAAATTAGATGCATCATTGAAAATATAACTCAATTCCTCTTATTGCAAGTTCAGCAATTCCTTTAGGGTCCTCTATATCCCCTCATTTATTGGTGTTAATTCTTCCTTCCTGATTTACACTCTTGATTGACAAAACAAAATCCTTATAAATTCTTTAAACGCAATTCTATTAATATATTTAAAAATACTAAATAACATTAAACCCTAATTATGGAATTGGGAGATCTGATTTAAGACAATTAATGCCCTTCACATCTTAATAATCTCTAATTTAGAGATTAATTTTTTATGTGCAATCCTAAGAGTGAATCATCTTTGTGTGATGCCCCTTTTTAATCAACTATGAGGTTGAATGCAGCATAATAGTATCTTATTCAAGCAATGATAAATTTATTAGCTTTCACCCCAACTTATTATTTATTGTCATATTGCTCCTTGATCCAGATATATTGTTTGCGTTGCAATGCCTTTCTGTTCTTAGGAAGCTCTCACTTGACAATTTTTTATCTGCACTGCCTCTTCAAAATGCTTGCAATTGATCCACAATACTTTTATAGTTTCGGAGTTGAATGTCATAGAAGTGATAAAATCCTTGGCTTCACGTGTTATCATTTAATTTCCCTTGATAACCCTCCATGTATGAACATAAATGATCAAGATGTATCCTTCTTCATTTACCTACCCAATTGGGATCAGTTTCCTCTTTAATTCAACAGCATGCCTCCCATTTTGTAGCTTTTGCATTTTTTTTTTACTAGTTTTAATTTGCATTTCTCTAACTCCCACAGCTCTTAAAAGTTCTCATCATCAGCAAAATGAACATTTTAGGGCACAGAGTACTGGAAGAAGAACCTTCACTTGATTCTAATTTCTGGTTGTCCTTACTTAAGGTCAAGTTACGGACATCTTTGAGCTTTAATTTTAAAGTCCAACATAATTTGCTTGTTGTTGTCATAGTTTCAACCCTACTTTTTGGATAGTGATGGTAACAAGATTAAAGCACAAACTTTGTCATTCAAGTTTTTTTTCCATAAAATTCAACTTCTGCTCAAATTGAACTCATTGATATGTGAAACTACGGAAGCCCATTTAAGTATTCTAAATTTAAAAATAGTTTTTATTAAATATGCATTTTTTATGACCGAAGGTATCTCATGCATATGTTATGGAACTTTTATCATTTGAGCTATAACCTTCTCATTAATAACAATTGTACAACCTTCAATGCATCCAGAAGATCTAGAATTTCTTAACTTATGATATTGGCTTTAACTTTTAGAGAGGTAGATGTAACTTTCTTTGGAATTAGGTATCTGCGATTTCTGTATTCCGACACTAGAAGTTCTTGCCATCGAATCTATATTAGGTTTCAACTTCCCAGCTTCGAAAGCTATACTGCGTCGACTTTCTCTATAAAACCCAAAGCTAGTAAACTCTAATCTAAGTTATTGTGGAAGAGTATGCCCACTTCTTTCTATGTTACCTTTCTCTACCCAGTTGTAAACAAAGCCTATATACCCAATCCCACCTTCATCCCATCCCAACTAAGAAGATATTACTGCTGTCCTGCTAGAATGACAACTGCCAAGCTACAAAACTATTACAAGCCTCTATGCTTGACACCACCCTTACACTAGGCATGTTTTTATGCTAACGACCATCGATCCAACCATTGTTGAACTCGTTAACATATCTTGAAATTGGTCCTTCAAAAATTTCTGTTTCTTAAATTCTCTGAGAAACGACTCACAGCCATATCTATCGAGAACACCCATTAAATGTCTCTCATTAGCCATCTGTTAGTCTGTCTTATCACCGATCTTCAAGGCCTCATTATCTTTTTTGCGAAGCATACCAATATGTCATGTATTCACACTTCTTTACAAGTCGAATATAATGGGTGGAATGGTTGTTCAGAAACAAATGTGCACATTTTATGTGGCTCAATATCGCAAAAAAATTGATTTAAGATCTCAAATATGTTGAGATTTAATCAATATCGCAAATATGTTGATTCAAGATCTTGTACAAGGGAATTAATTTTTAACACATTTATAAGACAGTGGTGAGACCTGCAATGCTCTATAGCGCTGAATGTTGGCCTTTAAAAGAGAAGCATAATAATAAGTTAAGTGTTGCCGAGATGAGAATGATTAGGTGGATGAGTGGCTTTACACTTAGAGACAAAATGCGGAATGAATATATTCGTGATAGGGTTGGTGTAGCTCCTGTGATGGACAAAATTAGAGAAAGTCGTCTTAGATGGTTTGGTCACATTAAACGTCGACCATCCGATGATCCGATCAGGAGAGTAGATGTTTTAGATTCGACTTGTGTTAAGAAAGGCAGAGGTAGACCTAGGAAAACTTGGGCTTATTGTATTAAAAATGTCCTTAATTTACTAGAACTAAATGAAAATATGACACTAAATAGGACGCAATGGAGAAAAAGGATTCATGTAGCCGACCCCACGTAGTGGGATTAAGGCTTTGTTTTTGTTGTTGTTGTTGTTGTATGACATTGTAACTAGATCGCTTTCTTGCAAGAGCCATGTAATAAACAGCCATAACAGATCAATCTTGCCACAAGAGAAGCCAACCAAGGCGCAGGTGTAGAGAATGATCACAAAAACATCCGAATCGCAGGAGAAGAGTATCAGTTTGATAAACATGCAAAAAACTTTAATATTTGCTTGTTGTAATTAGTTGAATGGCTGAAAACTTTCCTTTTTTTTTAAGAGTCAAACCCATGACCTCCTATTTGAGGATTGAAAGGCAAAACTCCGTGGCAATGAACACTCTGCTAGGCTTAATCTTAGAAAAAGATCTTTTATCTCCTTGATTTGAAAATGTAATCTATGATGCAGTAGCCTAGCCATAGCATTAATGCTTAACTTTAATATTCAGCCTAATTTGATAAAATTGCTTCCAACCTTATAATCTCTAAATCATAGATAATATTTATTGACTTTTTTTTTTTATATTTCTCTGCAATGCATACCTCTAATCCGTGTTACTTCTTGACATATTACAGAATGATAGCATCTGGAGAAGTTGTCTATCATCCATTACCGGATAGCATCTGGAGAATTTTGTATATCATCCATTAACGTCTTTGTGGTTTTTATTTGTAGGAATTAGACTAGGGAATCATCAAGAAAGGTTTCATTCAAATTATGTTGGAAGTTTTTCTCGCAGCTTGCGAGATATTGAAGGGTTCAATGATGTAGCATTACTTAAAGAACTGTACAGAAGTGATCCAGAAGGAGTTATTAGACTATTTGAAAGTCAACCTTCCTTACATTCGAACCCTTCGGCTCTTGCTGAGTATGTTAAAGCATTAGTCAAAGTTGATCGGCTGGATGAAAGTTCTTTGCTCAAAACTCTGCAAAGAGGTATATGCTACTGTCACATTATTCGTAGATGGCAGTTTATTTAATTAATTGGACAAGTAGAAGAGTAACTGATGAGTCAATGTAGGGATCTAAAAGGAAGTTCTGTGATATTATACTTGTAAAATAAAGGTTTTTTAAAAGAAGGATTGAGATCAAATTACTCTCCCATTGTTGGCGCCTCTGTGCAATTTACCTAGATTGATAACTATTTAAAAAGCATCAAATGTTTTTCTGAGGTTTAGTCAGCTCTTTTTAATGTAGATTTTCATCTCATTCTGTATTAGGAAGGATCTCTTCTTTGATTCCATTATTTTAATATGGTAAATATCTCTTTTGTAAGTGCTTTGGTGAAATTTTTTTATGGCTCTGGGAAGAAATTGTAATGCTCTTTAGATATTTAGTTCTTTATATAAAATGTTCCTTTTTCTTTGTGATTTTTAAATGAATGATAATTAAAAATGCAAAATTATTTCAACAAATGCTTACAAGTTTTAAGAAATAAAATTTCCTGATCTTTTCATTTCCATTTAAGGTATTTTGAGCATAAGAAAGTACTGATGCTTATCAATTGGTTGCCTTTTGTTTTCTTCCATGGCTTGGAATTTAACATTTATAAACCGTTGATGTAGGTTGAATAAGAAGAATCATTCAAGTTGATTTAAATATTTTGAATTTTTTTCAAATGCATGCAATTTACAATTCCATTATTGCGTGAGAAACCTAAAAGGACCAGAGAAAGGACTTAGAAGCCTTTATGTTCTTAACTACCTTTGACAATTTCTCCTATTCACAATTAATACAAGGGTTTTTCTGTAAATTTTATTTGTGCTTTGCTTTCTTCTATTGCCATAACTAATTTCTCAAGATACAGGTATAACAAATTCCTCAAGGCAAGAAGAGTGTGTTAGCACTTTACCAGGCTTAAAGAGTGTGGGCTTAGCGACTAAAGAAGGGGTTCTTGGCACTGCTAACGCACCCATTCACATGGTAACAGCAGAAACTGGTCACTTTAAAGAGCAGTTGTGGCGTACATTTCGCACAATTGCCCTCACCTTTCTAGTCATATCTGGTGTCGGTGCATTGATTGAGGATAGGGGAATTGGCAAAGGTTCGATATCATAGGAATTCAACATGTGCTAATTGGTTGCCTTTTATTTATTCATCAAGTTTGCCTCATTTGATGCTTTGCAGGGCTAGGACTGCATGAAGAGGTGCAACCAAGCATTGATTCGAGCACAAAATTTAATGATGTAAAAGGCGTTGATGAAGCTAAAGCTGAACTGGAGGAAATTGTACATTACCTTCGAGATCCAAAGGTTTGAAGATGAAAAAAACAAATTGCACCATGTTTCATGTTTGGCTGGTCAGATTTTAAATTATTTTGCGTATACTGCTACTTGTTGGGACTCCACTTGAGTTTTAACCTCTTTCACATGTTGAAGGGGCGCATACAATAATTCGTAGAAGTTGGTACTAAATTAGAAGGCTCATAGTTTGGTGTTTTCATATGGTTTACCATCGCTGTTTGTTTTTTCTTTTGTCCTATTTCATACTGATTTTTAACTCTCTTCCGTTAATGACACTAGCTTCAAATCTTCCCTCTTACACTACATGCACAAAGAAGAATAAAACCTTCATGCATTTGTGTGTGCATCGAAATGTATGTTGTAGGTGTTATTGGTGATTGAGTAGTTTTATACAAACAACTTGCTTGTACGTGTCACAAGTGACTTGGTAAAAAAAAGCGGAGGAGAAAAATTCGTTGCTTGGTAAACTTTGCAAATTTGTATCTACGGTTGATTTCTATAGTCTACTTGTTATTTTTCTAAATATTGTGCTGGTTCCTTGTATGTAAGAAATTTGTTGGAAAGAGATGCCAATTGCCACTTGGCAGCACGAGCAAATACAGTTCATGTCAGTGTTGATCATCGACGCTCCTTTGCATATCCTAGCACACTCAAAATTAAGTTGGAAGCATGTTAAGATAAAATTAGCTTCTGAAATAGGCATACACAACTCGACACCAGCCAAACATGACTCAAAAATTAATAAGGAAGCGTGTTGGGGATGGACCATCAATGAGATGTCAATACATGTGCATGATTAAATGTTGTTTCATGCTCAATTCTTTTTTCTAAATGCCCCAGAGTGGTGTATTTTTTTATTCATGTGCCAAATTGTGTAACTCATCTTCCTCTCAACAAGAGTTTGATAAAGCATCCTTAGCCTTCAGCCTCTCTTCATTCATCACCCGCGTGATACTGGAGGTAACCCAAATCGCAGCGAATTGAAAATGTTATTGCAGAAATGCGGGTAAATACAACAAAAAGGGTTCTTAGAACAGGAATAAATGACAACAAGCAGAGACAACACCTTAGGATGACGACAACGGTGTTAAATGTTGGACAGCAGGTAGAAGGGCTGGTTAGCGGCCGCGGTTACAGCAGAATGGAAGAATGGCTAGGCGATAACAACTAGACGGTTGGAATGATGAGGTGGCAGGGGGGAGGGAGGCTGCAGCTGGCTGGGAGGCAGCAAGGCTGGCGACAGTAAGCGGGGAGGGAGGAAAGGGATTACAGTAGCAAGTGGGGGTGCTATAGGGTTGCTGCAACAGCAGGAAGGAGGCTTTGGGTTGGTGACAAGGGATATAGGGGAAGGGGAAGGTGCGCAGGCGTAAAGGCAGCGAGCTGGGAAGGGGTAAGCACAAGAATATTGAGAGAGAATCACCAACTATAGCATGATATAGTCAGAGCAACACCTGCTCTTGGAGACAGCCTTAGCAAAGGTAAGACTGATGACAGAAAATATGAGACAAAAACCGAAACCTAACACAGGATATATATATATATATATATATATATATATATATAACACACACACACACACACACACACACACACATATCAGTATATGTATGTATATGTATCTATACATAAATACATACATGCATGTACATGTATGCATATATTTATATATATCTATATCTACATACATATATGTATGCATATATATATGTATATGTGTATATATATACAAATATATATCCTGGGTTAGACTAGCTCTGATATCAGGATAAGACTAGTGTTAGACTAGCTCTGATACCAATTGACACCGGAGATAACTCAATTCCTAGTGAATTGAAAATATTATTGCAGAAATACGGGGAAAATACAACAGAAAGGGTTCCTAGAGCAGGAATAAACGACACAAACACGTTTAACACCCTAGGGTGAGGAAGACGATGCTTGTTGGCGGCTGGACAACAGGTGGAAGGGTTGGCTAGTGTCTAAAGTTACAGCAGGAGGTGGGAATGGCTGGGTGGTAGCAACTGGAAGATTGGAATGATAAGACAACAGCAGCAGGTAGGCAGGGGGAAGGGAGGAGGCAGCTGGTTGGGAGGCCGGAGGGGTGGCAGCAGCAAGCTGGGAGGGAGGAAAGAGATTACAACAGCAGGTGGGGTTGTTGTAGGGTTGCGGCAACAACTGGAAGGAGGATTAGGGTTGGCGGCAGGGGATACAGGAGGAGGGAAAGGTGCGCAGCATAAGGGCGGCTAGTTGGGAAGGGAGTAAAGCGGTAAGCGTAGGAATATGGGGAGGGAATCAATCACCTTGGAGCAGGTTATAGCCGGTGCACTGCTATACAAGCCCTGGCACGGTAAAAACGCCGACGACAGAAAATCTGGGATAAAAACTGAACCCTAACACAAAGACAATACACATATATAATAGATAACTAAAAGGGCCTTCAGTGGCAAACCTAGCCCATCAACATGGACTGGCCGGCCCGTGCTCTCCTTTAATGAAACCACCAACTGTTTTGTTGATTTGTATCATCTTTATATCTAACTTTGATTTCAAAGGATAGAATCTCTATAAAAAATATATTTTGATTTATGCTTATTCATTTATTCATGCTTGAAGTATTAATAAAAATCATTTTCTGAGCTTGAGATCATTTATTTATAAAATATAACATTACATCGATTCATCATGCCTTATTTTAACTATTATGCCATTTCAGGGTATCCATATTGTATCATGTAGTGTCTGTGCCTCATAGGTTGAAACTTTCTTCGTGGTGTATCTCAGTATTTCTTACTTTACATTGAACTGTGTGGGCATGGGAAGTAGCAGCTTTCACAGTCACTTGTTAGACTTTGCTTATTTAACATTTTTCTTTTTTCATTTGTGAGTATCGTCCATAGGAACTGAACTTTATATTTGCGCAACAGTTTTGGCAGTTTTACTTTTTTAAGTGTGTCAGAAACTTAAAGATGTTACTATTGATGTTCTTTATTCTTTTTCTTCATACAGCGTTTCACTCGGTTAGGTGGTAAGCTTCCCAAAGGTGTTTTGCTTGTTGGTCCCCCTGGCACTGGAAAGACTATGCTGGCAAGAGCTATTGCAGGGGAAGCTGGAGTTCCATTTTTCTCTTGCAGTGGGAGCGAGTTTGAGGAGATGTTTGTGGGCGTGGGAGCTCGAAGGGTCAGGGATCTTTTTGCTGCAGCGAAGAAAAGGTCTCCCTGTATTATTTTTATTGATGAGATCGACGCAATAGGCGGGAGCCGTAACCCAAAGGATCAGCAATACATGAAGATGACACTGAATCAGCTTCTAGTTGAACTTGATGGTTTTAAGCAGAATGAGGGTATTATAGTTATTGCGGCCACAAATTTCCCCGAATCATTGGACAAAGCTCTGGTGAGGCCCGGTCGCTTTGATCGCAATATTTTTGTTCCTAATCCAGATATCGAAGGTCGAAGACAAATTCTGGAATCCCATATGTCAAAGGTATTGGGGCAAAACCACATTCTTCACACTTATATCTGTATTTTACATTTTTTGTTTTTTTAGTTTGAATTGAAAAACCTTTTTATTCATGTCATTATGACCTTTGTTATCTGGCAATCTATTTTTGGTGCAGGTGTTGAAGACAGATGATGTTGATTTACTGATCATTGCAAGAGGGACACCTGGTTTCTCAGGGGCGGACCTAGCAAACCTGATCAACATGGCTGCTTTAAAGGCTGCTATGGATGGAGCCAAAGCTGTTAGCATGTCCGACCTCGAGTATGCCAAAGACAAGATCATGATGGGTAGCGAACGCAAATCTGCCGTGATCTCAGACGAGAGCCGGAAACTAACCGCATACCATGAGGGTGGTCATGCTCTTGTCGCAATCCACACGGATGGCGCCTTACCCGTTCACAAGGCAACAATCGTTCCCCGTGGGATGTCCCTTGGTATGGTCGCACAATTACCCGAAAAGGATGAAACGAGCTTCTCCAGAAGGCAAATGCTGGCGAGGCTCGATGTCTGCATGGGTGGACGTGTCGCCGAAGAACTCGTCTTTGGAGAGAGCGAAGTGACATCTGGCGCTTCATCTGATCTGCAGCAAGCGACCACTTTGGCTAGAGCAATGGTCACAAAGTATGGGATGAGCAAGAAGGTGGGGGTCGTCACACACAACTATGACGACAATGGGAAATGCATGAGCACTGAGACTAGACTTCTAATCGAGAAGGAGGTGAAGCAGTTTCTGGAGAGTGCTTATAACAATGCAAAAACTATATTATCTAATCATAACAGAGAGTTGCATGCTCTTGCCAATGCGCTCTTGGAGCATGAAACTCTTACTGGAGCACAGATTAAGAACCTGCTTGCCCAGGTTAGTTCCCAGCATCAGAAACCACAGGGGGTTATGGTTCAGTCGACACCTGTGGCGCCTTCGCAACCTTCAGCTGCGGCATCTGCTGGCTCCTGCCGCTGCTTCAGCGGCAGCCAAGGCTAAAGGAGTTGCCCAGCCAGCAGTTGGATCATAAAAAGTTAAATAATAATTAATAATCTACATTCTTATATTTATATTTGGACTGTCCAGTATTTGAAGGGTTGGTGGATGTGTTCTCTGCCATTTATTAAATTACGGAGGAACACTTTGAGTGTGTAAATTATTTCTGCAACTTGTTTTCACTGTTTATTTTTGGAGAAATTATTACGTACAAATACGATGGAGGGGTCAATAATTTTTCCCATTTCTTGACCCTTTTAATTCTATTGAATGCTTTCTGCAATGAATTGCCCATTTCTTGACCCTTTTAATTATATTACTTGCTTTCTGCCATTGCTTTATTCGATAAGTCCCCCTTTATTTGATCATAATAGAAGCTGAAAGTAATTATATAAAAAGCAGGGATGCTCGGGGTAAAGATATTATTTAAAAAGAAGGGAGCTTTTAGTTGTATGGCTGAATGTAATGACGAAGGCTTCAGAGTTTCTTAAGATAATTTTTTACTTAATAAAATTTAATAGCATTTAACAAAAAGGACTAGATGATGTGGAAATGAGCAAATGGCTTTTAATAGCTTTCGCTGCTAGTGAAGTTCAGATACCGAATATATTCTTAGAAAGTAAAAAAGTTATAGATATAGTTAAGCACGCAGCAAGAATATTGTGATTTACATTAAATTAGTTCATTCTAGCTTCTATAAAAAGTTGAAAGATACACATATCACTCACTTTATATTGATGTACATGTCTAACGCCTAAACTTCAATTTTTACATGCATGCCACCTTATTTATGCATTAAAGGTATACTGCACTTGTTATAAATTATGATAATGAAATATTTGGGTAATATTAATACAAAAAGTAAAGTTTAGGCATTAGACATAGGAATTGGGCGGTATGTATATAAATGTCCCTAAAAGGTTTTGCATTTGATGCCTTGTATAAGAAAAAAAGGGCATTACATGGTTATGTATGATTGTTATTTTATAACAAATAAATATTATTGTTGACATGGATCCTGTATAGGGAAGAAACAAAAGAGAGCAGTTTCTGTATAGAAACCAAAATATTCAAATTCTTTTTCAAATATTTTCTGTACAACATTATATACAGATTCCTATAGCCTATTCAGACTTAAGGACATAAAAAATCTGTAAAGTCTATATAAGAAAAATACTCCTAGCTATAAAAGAAAAATTAATAACAGAATAATAAAAGTAAAATGTCATGTAGCTCGCGTAAGCTAAAATGTTTCATGTCACTCTGCTCTTGTTTTAGAAGGATCTAAGCTCGATGTCAATTGGGTTGAAACTTCAGTCAGGTGGGTGGTAAGTATAGATGTCATACACATTGAATGTGGAGGATGTGTTTATGTCTGATAGCAAGGCTATGACATAAGCATTGTCATTAATTCGTGTAGTCACAAATAATGGTCCAAATTTTCTTGGACATAATTTGGAATAGGTGTCAAGCTCAATGCTTCTTGGAGGAGACGCACCATAACAATATCACCCGGTTCAAAACCTTGTCTTTTGAAGATTTTCCTCTTGTTTATACTTGCTATTTTATTCCAGCAATTTGGAATGCACACCTTTTAAAAGTCTCGTAGCATCAGCGGTCATTTCACCAATAAGAATGCTCTTGCACTTTGGGAGAATTGCGAGGTCAAGTGTATGATTTGGTGGCTTAGTATAAACTATGGTAAATGGGCATTTATCCATGGAGCGATTTTGCATAGAATTATATGCAAATTCGGCTTGAACAATGAATTCATTCCACTATTTTGGAGGATTTTTTGCTAAGCAACACAAAATATTTTCCACAGTGCAGTTGTCCACCTCGGTTTTATCATCTGTTTGTGGCTGATATGTAGAGCTTGACTGGAGTTCAGTTTGTAACCTTTTTCACAATTCACACTAGAAGTGACTAATAAATTCTACTTCCCTATCTGAAGTAATGTTGCGATGTATCCCATGAAGATGCACTATTTCTTGGAAGAAAAATCGAGAGGTGTGAAGTGATACACATAAAGTATATAGTGTTTTTATACATATTTTTATACCTATTTTTTAGATATTGCGCCTTAATGAATGGGATTTTTGTTTTTTTTCTTTCAAGTACAATCAAATGGATTAAAAATGCTAAAAAGGAGTGAAAAAGGGTAAATTTGGAGCAAAAATGAAGAAATGTGCAAAAATGAACTAGGGCGCCTAAGAGCCCAAGTATGACGCCTAAGCGCCAGGTACCCCGTGCTTAGGCGCTAGAAGTAGTTACTTGATGATATATTTAATTTGATTGGATTTTTGAAGAGGTGTTTGAAGCAACCCTTGATAAGAACGTGGGAAATAGCCAATGGACACAAAATTCATTCAATTCGCTTTTTGAGGAGGCAACTTCTAAGAGATTTATTGAATGGAGACACCTTTTTTAAGAGACTCCATAACACATCTTGGATTTTTATAAGAAAAGACTTAGATTTTCCAAGAGAGAAGACCAGCCACCCAACAAACTTTACAGCAATCATCTATCTAAGTAAACCGCCACCACCGCCGCCAACCACCTATTCTTTTAGTTTTAGTTTGTATTGTGATTGAAGGAAGAGAATTCAAAGGAACTTCAAAACATTTTGTGGAGGGGATTTGAGATAAGCGTTTATCTTTGTGACTACACTTGGTTTTAATTTAGATTTCTTGTTTGTGTGCATGATTTCTACTTTTAAACTCATGTGTAGTTGTGTTTTCTCCATGGATTATGAGTACTTTTCTTTATCTTTTTCCTTGAAATGATAAGTGATTAAATATTTAAAGGAAGTTGTGTGAAGTATTAGGCTTCAATGTTGGAAGAAGTTGTGATGATTTGAAACCCTACACTTCATTTACTTCTTGATTTGGCCAATTAAGATGTTAATACATGTTGTGAGAACATGTAAGATCTGAGATGGTATTGTCTCAGTCAACAAATGGTTAGAATCAGATATTGATTTCATGAATGAGAATGTAGTTCATGGGGTTTAGTGTAAATAAATAGGGAAATAAACTTTGAAAGGGTGTAGAATTAGAAGACTTTAGAGTGACAGACTAAAACACCCAATTTGATTTATAGTTTTAGGTTTTTATACGAGATGTTAGCCCCCAGGTGGAGGGAGAAGAGGAAACTCTAGAGTGAGAGCTAGTATCTTCCCTGACTAGTTGGTTTTCAAGACTATTCAAACTATAGAATAACTAATGTTCTTTATTGCATCTCTAGTAAAGGTAAAGAATATTAGTGCTCCTATTTGACACAACACATTTACCATACTTCCACAATATAATTTCTATATTTATCACTGATTCGTCATAAGGAAAAAGATATTTTATTTATATTACCTTCATCTTACAAGTATTTTAGTTAAGTTAATTAGTTGCTTACTTTATTTTCAATTATAAAAAATTACAAAAATTATCAAACTTTCATTCTTATTTTAGCATCTTAAGTTTAAGTAAGAATATATTTCTAAGTAAATTTTGATATATAAATTTAGTTCTCCCAGTGGGTTCGATATTTGGGACTTAATCAAAAAGTTTAATATTACTTAATAACGATACATATACTTGCGTAGTATCCTATATTAACATATTATAACCAGATTCTTATTTGCTTCATGGTGAAAGATTTACCTAGCTTTTGCTTTGGATCAAGTTTTTGGCTTTGCTATAAATTAAGAATAACTATTAATGAAAGTAATCGTATAATCGCATACATTGCTTTTTACATCTATATATATAGAATGTTGGGATCAAGTTTTTAGCACCGTTGTCGGGAATAAATATAATAGTAATTTTCAAAAATATTTTCAAAAGAAGTGCTTAAAAAGAAAAATTTTTAGTAAGTCTTATTTAAACTTTAAGATTTATTTTAGGAATATTGTAGTGTCGTTTATTGTAGTGTCGTTAGGAATATTGTAGTGTCGTTTATATATAAAGTTCTTGTTTATGTGTTTTTATTTTTATTTTTTGTTTATTTTATGTGTTTGATAGTAATGTATGCGTAGTTCAGGTTCCACAGGACTTGTGCCTTACAATTTTGAATTAGAAAGAACTATTAGAAAAATTAAAAAAATTAAAAATTATTGAAAATTTTCAAGAAATGACAAATCAAAATAATCAACTAGTTGAAGTGTTTAGACCCTTAAGAGATTATGAAAACCCTACGGTGGATGAACTTCATGGTAGTATTCAAAAACTCACTGTAGTGGCTAATTCATTTGATCTTAAATGTGTTATTATTCAAATGATATCAAACAATTTGTTTGGGGGAGCACCAACTGAAGATCCAAATTTATATCTTGCCAATTTCTAGAATTGTGTGTCACATTTAAATATGATGGTGTATCAGATGATGCTATAAGACTTAGATTATTTCACTGAGGGATAAGGTGTTAAGATATGGTTACATTCATTATCACCTGGATTTATCAGAACTCACAGTGGTTTAGCGCAAAAATTACTTGCTAAATATTTTCCACTATTAAAAACTGCAAAGCTTACAAATAATATTACATCTTTTCGTCATTTTGAAGGGGAATCTTCTTATGAAGCATGAGAACGATTTAAAGAACTCTTAAGAAAGTGTCCACACCATGCTATACCAGATTGTTCAATAATTTAAACTTTTTGTAATGGATTAGCTGGATCTCTTAGATCTATTATCGATGTCACTGTTGGTGGTTCATTGATGTCAAAACCATTTTATGACAAAACCATTCAAAACCATTTTATGACACTTATGCTTTAATTGAAGATATGGCTACAAATAAATTTCGATGGCCTTCTAAAAGGGTAAAAGCAAATCTTAAGAAAGTAGCCAATATTAATGAAACTAATGCTTTACCCATGTTAGGAAATCAAGTTGCAACAACTTGAAGAAAATTAGACCAATTTGAAATGAATTTTTCTCATCCAATTTTCATGATTAAAGAGAATTCATTAGGCTAAATGGTAGATTCTCAAGCATCATTGTAAACTTTGAATGCCATAAATAATAAGCAGAATAAGCCATATTCAAATTATTATAATCCAGATTGGAAGAATCATCCCAACTTCTATTTGAATAGTACTACAGGTTATAATAATTAGTTATGGGGGAAAAATTAAGTAAACCCATTGGGAAACTTGAACAACTAAGGGAATAATAATTGTAGAGCTACTTATCCTCCAGATTTAATAGTAATCCACCATAATTTAAGGAGAAATAGTTGTCTATAGAAGAAGTGGTGTTACAAATGGGAAATCAGTTACAAAGTCAATGAGCTACATT